TTTAACATGCAGAGCTTTTAGATTTTAAATAAATTAGGAGATCAGCTGATTATGCTATCTTGGATTCAATCTTTCTGTATGTTCAGGTGATCCAGGCTAAATAATTTCCTAATGATTTATTTTTTAAAAATAAATAAATAAACACAGAATGTGAAGTGTAATAGATGGAGAGCAGAAAAGTAAGAGTATTGAAATTGCATCGGATGGTGTTTGTATGAAAAGTACATGCTTTCATCCTAGTTTCAACAAATTCAAATGGAACTTTTTTGTGTGTATGCATTGCTTCATTATTTCTGATCTCTTATTCAGAAAGCTTTTACTGGTCTAGAAAGATAGCGTGATCGGTTGATCTCCTAATTTATATATATAAATATATATATATATATATATAAATGCAAAAATTTCTCAGACTTAACTTGTAGAAAAAGACAATATTTTTCCCAATATTACCTTTTCTAACAGAATCACTACTCTCCCAAGCCAACATACACAACAACTATATCAAGGAATCAAAAGAAAATGGTTGATTCCATCAACACAACAATACAAACAATATTTCTACACATGAAAATATTCTCTTCAAACATAAAGTAATTGACACCATTATTCAGTTGACCATATGAATATACAATAGTGTTTCTAAATTCCTCTAGATGCTAACAACATTTTGTTTGTTGTTTATAGATACTTTGTTCCAATAAATTCATTTCGTTTTTTGCCTTGACAAAGTTCACATTGGATGAAATGTGCTGGCTAAAACAAGTTTTCCTATTGTCTTTTTCCTTAATACATATATTTATATGCACACACACTCACATACACAGATATATATATATATATATATATATATATATATATATATATATATATATATATATATGTATATATATGTGTATATTTTATTGAATATGAGAGAAAGAAAATCTTTTATTTAGTTTTTCCAACATTTTTCTGTTTGGTGGGATAAGTTGATCAGTGTATGTGAATATGTTATATATATATATATATATATATATATATATATATATATATATATATATATATATATATATAAAAGTTATCTGCACATGGCAAGAAAGGAAAGTTTTAATGTCTGATAGACGTGATGTATACGCAAACACCGTGTAGCCATATATATATATATAAAGTGCTGGATATCAGAGATATATATTTGTTGGTATCAAGTTGGGACTAAAATTGTTCTCATTTTCAAGGCAGTTTGTTCTTGGATATTGTTAATTTCTTTTTATGTTTGACTGTTTAAAATGTGTTCTTGTGCTGTTTTGAATCCTCGTAGTATTTTAAAGAAATACAAAATAGAAAGTTGCTCACTCAAATTCCCGACACGCACAACATGTGAAGCTTGGAATAAACACTTCTAGTCGCATTTAAAACAACACAAAAACACATCTTAAACAGTCAAATGAAAATATCTACAAATGCTGGAAAAATAAAATAAAAAATTAATTATGTTTTCTATGTTTGTCATATTTAATGAAACAGGTTTAAAAAGAAAGCTTGCCTTACATATATATATATATATATATATATATATATATATATATATATATATATATATATATGGCATAGGAGAGTAGTGGATACTGGCTTGGATTGAAGAATCAGAGAGCTGAATTTTAATTCCAGTCGAATCCATTACATTCACTAATGTGCTAATACTCTTGGGAAAAGTATTATTCCTCTTTTTCTCCCTCCAGCTATAGGTAGATAGCAGGACAGATTGGGTTCTATAGCCTTGGATGGCAACTGGTCTAGGAGAAGGACAACTCTGAATTCAAAAACCTGCAGTGGCTCATAGTACACCAAGTTTCTGTATTCAGGCCTTCAAAAAAGTGTGATTGGTTGTGCACAAAGACTTCACCGCTATAATTAAATCATATGTGATGGCTTCTGGGCTGTCTAAATGTCATATGTTGAATATGAAGAGAGAGTCCACCATCCCAATATATATATATATATATATTTATTGTTTAGACATTTAGATTTATATCAAACCATAACCTCCCAAATGTGCCCTTTAAAGTAATGTGAATTAATAGTGTCTAAGATTTTGAATGAAACCTGCCTCGTGCAATGTAATTTATTAGGGTTGTTGTAGCTTCTTCCTTTAATGTTGGTCTTCTCCCTCACACCTTACCCATCTATATCTAGAGACAATACGTGTTAGCTGACACACAGTGGGGTTAAGAATAAGGAATTGAAATGGTACCTCTAACCCACTCATATCTCCTCTTCCTCACTTTAATTTTACATATGCTTGATGTGGTCCATCAAAAATGTGTGAATTTCTTTTCATTTTGGAATTTCAACTTTTGGAAGTAAAGTCTGATGATCCAGAGCCCTGTTAAAGGGGTTATGGTGAAATAACTTATTACATGGAACCTTAAAGTGGTCTGTTTTTATTCAAACATATCGGCTCTGAATTTTACATTGAGCTCTCCAGATATCATCCTCCTTGGGTCTACCCATGCAGATTACCTAGTTTTCCATAAACTATATATATATATATATATATATATATATATAATTATTTTATAAAAATTATAACATAAGTATGTTATAATTTTTATAAAATAATTATATCTGCTCTACTTTTTGTATTGAGCACTCTTTTTAAGAATAGTAATTGTTGGTTATTGGAATTCATTCCGTATATACCAATTATATACTTTGATATATATATATATATATATATATATATATATATATATATATATATATATATATATTGGGATTGTTTTTATCATTGTCATTATTATTGTTATCTGTGTTATTATCATTATTGCCCCCACATTTTTTTTTTTTTTTACTTTTGTTTCCATCATCATTAATGTTAAATTTGCTGTTAAAACATCTACAACTATTATTAATAATAATTAAAATCAAGTTATTATCACTATCAGCATAATCACAATCGTCAAGAATACACAAGCAGTTAGTGTTGAAAATACAAACATCATCATCACCATGCCCACAAACAGGACCAAGCTTAACTAAAGTGGTGGTGAAAGAGCCAGACCAATAGGAGTGTATGCACACATCTACATGTGTGTATGTGTATATCAGAAAGTGTAGGTTTGTTTGACGATATATATATATATATATATATATATATATATTGTGTCCAGCATGAAACAGCCTGTCACCTCTGAGTGTTGACTTCAAAAATGGACAGTTTATACACAACACCTCAACTGAAAATTGGAAAAATATAAGAAAAAATAAACAGATAGATCTTGTCAGTTCTTTTAATAAAAATTGTTTGTCTATCTATCTATCTATCTATCTATCTATATATATATATATATATATATATATATATATATCCAAGTATAGGATTGATGTATACAGAATAAATTCCAATAACCAACAACTACTATTCTTAAAAGAGTGCTCAATACAAAGTAGAGCAAATATAATTATTTATTCGAAAATTATAAGATAAATATGTTATAAAATCACTACAAAAATAGCCATTTTATTTGATCACTTCTGGTGTCTTATTAACCCCTTTATTATACATTCAACACCATCACTTGATAAGACATCAGAAGTGTTGAAACAAAATTGCTATTTTTGTAGTGATTAGTTTGATTGATGTGAGTCTGTGATGCTTGGTTTCCCGCTATTTGCGATCATCAGACAAACTGATTAATTTTTAAATTTTGGATTTATATATGGTTGCATATATCAGTGTTTTTATGGTAGTGGGAGGAAAATTTTTTGTCAGAATGCCACTCGTATTTACAAAAACAGACATACACGCACGTTCACTTATTGCCATACTCACATCAATCCAACTAAATATGTTAGCTCTATGACTGATATTGAGCACTTTCCAATAAGTACAACACATATATAATATATAAATAATATATATAAAAAATTGCATATATATATATATATATATATATTTACATTTAGATACATATACATTTTACATGTATATATATATATATATATATATATACTGCTCAAGATATATATATATATATATATATACATATATATATATACATCTGTATATAATATATATCATATACATCTCTTGTTATGATATATATATATAGTTATATGATATATAGATGCACATATATGAAACATTGATTAACATATGTTGGCACCTTGGAAATGGATGTGCATGTCATAAAGATACATATATAAAATTTGTATATATATATATTTATATACACAAACATAGTGATATATGTTTGTGTATACATATACATTTTGCACACACATATATATCTTCATACAACTGTGTTATACATTTTTGTAGTTAATATATATATATATATATATATATATATATATATATATATATATATATATATATATATATATATATTCATATGGCTGTACTGGGACAGAAAAATTATAGTTAGGTTTTGAAAGAGCTTGGCGATGACTACAAATATTTCTTTCGTCAAGTTGGAGCCTTACCATATTCTATCCTGGTCTTTTTCTTTCATTGCATTTTCCTTTTTTTTTCTTTTGTCTTATCTCATCGTTGGTGTGTTTCTTTCCCCTACACATGAAATCTAATTTTGGTTTTAGCAGCCAATAATCACTGTTTTTTTGCCACTTTTTTCAGGGTGAGGGTGTGTTTTTTTTAATTTCCTTTTTTTCCTGATTATCTTTCAACCCTTTATTTATTTATTTTTGTAAAAAACAGAAATGAAAGCGTCAGTTGATTTTGACGAAAATGTGTTGTTTTCTTGTTTTTTATTCTTTAGTCATCTTCATTTTTGCAATGTGATGCAGTTTATGTCATTTTCGGTGGGACGTCTTTCAGGAAGTGTGCCTTGTCCCCATCAACTCAGTGTTTGGTTTCAACAGAACATGCATGATGCAGTGGCTAGAAGAAAAAATAATGCCCTCCCAAATTCTTTTGGCCAATCGTAAAAATTGACTAAGTATCTGAGTAAAATATAATCATTCCAACGACAAACATGTTTCTTCTTTCTCTTCTTCTTTGTCTTCATCATCATCTTCTTTATCTTTTCTTCTTCTTTATCCTCTTTATTATCTTTACCATCTTCTTCGTCATCATCTTTTTTGTCCTAGTTTATTTTCTCCTTCTTCGTCTTCTTCTTTATCTTCTTTTTTCATATCCTTTGTCTTCTTTTTTGTCGCCATTATTTTTATCTTATTCTTCATCATGATCATGATCATCATCATCATCATCATCATCATCACCTTCTTCTTCTCTTACTCTTCTTTATCTTTGCTTTTTCATCATCATCATCATCATCATCATCATCTTCTTCTTCTTCTTCTTCCTCTTCTTTATCTTTTTCATCATCATCATCAACAACATTTTCTTCCTCTTCTTTAGCTTTACCTTTTTCATCACCATCATCATCTCTTGTTTTTCCTCTTTTTATCTTTACCTTTTCATTATCATCATCATCATTGTAATCATCTTCTTCCTCTTCTTTATCTTTACCTTTACCTTTTTCATCATGATCATCATCATCATGATCATCATCATCATCATCGTCATCTTCTTCCTCTTCTTTATCTTTACCTTTACCTTTTTCATCATGATCATGATCATCATCATCATCATCATCATCGTCATCTTCTTCCTCTTCTTTATCTTTACCCTTTAACTATCATCATCAACATCATCATCATCATCTTCTTCGTCTTATAATTATTATTATTATCTTCATTTATTTTCCTCCTTTTTCTATATCATTTACTTCTTTGTCTTATTTGTGTTCTCGTTTTTGAGTGCAAGAGCAGAACACCAACAAAATGAAGTCCAATGAGATCCAGTCCCGTAAAGTGTATATTAAGCACATGCATCACAAATGTTTGTGATTGGAGAAAGGTTTTGATAAAAGTAGCGCATAACCTAGAAATGGAGCCCCACTAGTTACAAATACCTCCAGCTTGCCTAACCCCCAATCCACTCAAACAGTCTTAAATTGAAAGCTTTTACCAATTAGCTAAATGTATTGTACACTTTAGCTACCATATGCATAAAATTTAAAAAAAATAAAACAGCTCCCTCCTCATCCAGATCTTATGCTCCCTGATTACTCCTGACCCTGAACAGAGATGCATAGTGCATCAGCCCCAATCGGATATGTTCAGCCATTTAAGGCCATGCAACTGTGGTACTGAATGGGATATTTACTGCAGTCTGTCTTAATTTACCAAGAGAAAGCATTTACATATGAATAAGCCAATCAGTTATCAAAAGCCATGAAAGCCATACCTGGTGTAGTGTCAGCAGATTTATTATTATTATTATTATTATTATTAATAACAAGAATAATAGCAATAGATAGGATCATAATTAATTTTAATCAATAGCTAGCTATAGATATATCTATCCATCTACCTATACTATTGTGCAAATTAATTGAAACAACCGCTTTAGTTTCCTTTCTTTCACCATACAGTCAGTTTTACACCCACTGGAATGACAGGGTGTAATTGATTTCTATTTTTTCCTCAGATTAGGTCATTTGTAGTGGAGTGCAGTAATATGAATCTATTTTTTGGGGTGTAAGATGAAAGTTGTTTGGCCGTAAAAAATAGTGCACCATTTTTATCACACCCACACACTCCAAGAAAGCGTACAAAAAGTGTAACACTGCACAAACACACAGCCAAACCTTACCAGTGAGGAAATCAAAGTACTATATATTGGCCTGGAAACTCTCCTGATTTAAATCTAATCAAAAATTCAGTGGTCAATCTGCAAGAAATGACTTTGTGGCATGGACATACAAGGTAATAACATATGCACTGGATCATGTTTCATTGGAAAAAAAGTAAATAAAAGCTGAATTATTCATTTTGTTTCAATTAATTTGCACAAGGGTGTATCTAGCTGGATAGCTTGCTAGATAGATAGATAGTTATAAACAATGTGGAAATAGGAATCTTTAGACCATGTGTTTCTACTTTGTAGCAGGTTCTAGATATAGTCTATTGATGAAATGGGAAAAGTATGAAACTGACCCTTCCCTGTTCTTTTGTTTAGAGCTAATGCTTAGAGTTAATGCTTAGGGCTAATGCTTCGAGCTAATGCTTAGGGCTAATGCTTAGGGCTATTTATAACCTTTAGATACACTATTTTATTCATATTTTATATTTTATAAAAATATAATATTGTGAAGAGATTAATGAAGTTAAACCAGACACATACCGTATCTTAACAACTTAAATGAATTCCAAAAAGAAAAATTATCAGAGGTCATAAAGAAAACAAATGATCTGCCTGACATCTTCATCCCTATCTATAAAACTAGAAATAAAGTTGCAAAGGAAAGTGAGGTAAAAAACGATTAACTTTCAAATGTTAAAAAAAAACAAAAACACAAAAAACAAACAAACAGAAATTATGGTTATTAACAAAAGAAAAAGACCACGTGAACTACATATTGGAAATGTCAACATCACACAATTAGAGAAATTTAAATATCTTAATAGAGGATGGAAAATGTAACAGTAAAATCCAAACGCACATTGGAATAGCAAAAGATGCTTTCCAAAAGTGAGACAAGGTATTAAGAAACAGGAAAATTTCATTAGAAATTAAAAAGACCATTTTGAATTTCTATGTGATATCAATTTTCTTATATGACAGTGGATGCTGGAGAATCTCACCACAGATAAAGAGAAAACAGAAGGTAGCAGTAATCTAGTTCCACAGAAAGATACTGAGAACTCTTTAGACTCAGAGTGTAAGCAACGAGGAAATCTTAAAGACAATGATAACAAAAAGAACATTTATAGTTAGAATCAGAAAGAGAGCGCTGAAATTTTTGGGTCGCCTTATAAGAAAAGAAGACTTGGAGAACTTAACCCTCACAGGGTATATCGAGTGTATGAGAGATAGGGGAAGGCAGCGAGTAATCTACCTGATAAGCTTGTGTGAATGGATGGCAGAACATGGGGCGAATGTCTTTGGTGAAGGGAGAAAGACTGATAATGGTTACATGATATAGGACGGTGTGGACATTTCGACTTTTCAGCACGGCTCTTTGTGAACTTCTTCTGACCCATAGTGTCATTGAAGGAAATTTGCAAAATATTGCAAAAAAGACACAACACAACAGAGGTCTTTCCAGAGCGAGATGAACACGTGTACCACGAGAGGTAATACTCGCGAAGCTTGAAGCTCACTGCGCCAACTAGGTGATGCTTAACTGAAACTCGCTCGTCTCAAAATTCAGCTCGTATCTCAAGGTAAAAAAAAATCGTCTGAACTCCGGTTCGTATCTAAAAAAACTTGTATGTTGGTACCTTCGTATCTCAAGGTTGGTTGTATATATATATATATATATATATATATATATATATATATATATATATATATATATATATATATATGTATGTATGTATGTATGTATATATATGTATTGACGACGACATATAAGGCGCACTTTTTACTAAAAAATATCTTTTAAAATTCCCCTGCATCTTATATGGCATATGTAGCTTTATAATTCGCGATAGTCAGCCGAAAATAGCTACATTGCAACTCCTATTAGCTTAGACTTTAGTGTAACTTTAGCTATTATCATTATTTTGAAGGCTATTATGCAGATTAAAATTGTTATCATTGATAATATTCATTATATTAATTTCATCAGGCTTAATATTAGTACTTTGTTTCTCTAAAATTATATGCAATAAATTCAAATTATATATTTATAAAATATATTTGTTTCATTAATATTTTTCTTGCAATAACTTCCGGTTGCATTGGTAAATACAATCAGAATTTTTATATCCTAATTATTGCAATAAAACGTTTACAAAACGCAGGTTGTACAGATCATATAAAGGATATAATAAAGTTTTTATAGGTTCGTGGTCTTTTTTTCCTATTATTTTTCGTTTAATTGTATTCGTGGCTTGTTTAGCCAAAATAATACCTCATAAATATAGCCGAGGCTGTACCATTTACTACTAATTTTACTAATTTTACTAATTACTAATTTTTCTTGATTTGACCTGCTGAAATTGGGGTACGTCTTATACACCGTGCGTCTTATATGCCGTCAAATACCGTATATATATATATATATATATATATATATATATATTATATATATATATATATATATTTGGAGTTTGTGACCCTGGGTTTCACGCTTTGGCGATCATGAACAAACCGATTAATGTTTTAAAAATTTGGGTTTATGTAGCATAAACCCAAATGTACATAAACCCAAATTTTTAAAACATTAATCAGTTTGTCTGACGATCGCTAAAGCGTGAAAAGGTCCAAAACTCACATCTATCCATCCAACTCTATCTCTGATATTGAGCGCTTTCTAATAAGTACGGGTATATAATATATAAATAATTATACATATATATATTTATTTATATTTTATACACTTTCACACACACACACACACACACACACACACACACACACACACATATATATATATATATATATAAAAGGAAAAAAGACAATAGAAAAACTGTAGTTTTAGCCAACGCGTTTCGTCCAATGTGGACTTTTTCAAGGCAAAAGACAAAATGAATTTATTGAAACAGTATCTATAAGCAACAAACAAAATGTCGTTAAGAACTAGAAGAATTTAGAAACGTATATTCATATGGTCAACTGAAAAATTATGCTCATTACTTTATGTGTGAAGAGAATATTTTCACATGTAGAAATATTGTTTGTATTTATTGTGTCTTTTTTCCTTTATACATATTGTTTTTTTCTTTAGGTTAGAAATTTTTATACACACACACACACACATATATATATATATGTAGAGAGAGAGGGATAGAGAGACAGACATAGATATAGACTAGCAGTAGAGCCCGGCGTTGCCCGGGGATATAACAGTAAGAGATAGATCAAGTATCGACCATCATAAAGACTGAAAAATAAAATTGACAAAGATTATTGT